TCAATATTGCATAGATTCCGACATTGAATCTGATTAACAACATAATTTTCTTTTAAATGTTAAATATCTCTTTTATATTATGATTACTGTGTTGTATTATTTAATTTATATTAGTATAAATAAAAACAATATTTGTTATTTAATTTAAAAGAACAATAGAGAATTAAATATTTTTTAGTAAATCATAAATACCGAGTAGAAAGTAAAAAGTACTTAAAATATTTTTACTGAGTATTTACTGAATGCCTACCCATCCCTACATGCATAAGAAAGAGCAAGGTCTGCCTGGATAGCTAGTTAATTATAAAAAAACCTGTAATTAACAACAAAACTGTAGGGTGATAGTCTGTGTTGACATAGAGGAGGTCTGGGTATATACCTACATAAAAATGGAGGATAGTTTGGATACTTATAAGTGATTATGGAAAAACTCAATAACAGACATATAATTAACAGTTAACCAGTTTTATTTAATAAAGGCACTTTACATGGTGATAAATTAAGATGGACAGTCAATCGAAGGCGATTTTGTTATAACCAAATGGCTACAGTCAATTGAGAGCGCCGAAGGCAATAAATTTGTCGGCATCAAATGCTTACAATGAATGGGAACGATTTTTGCAACAATTTAAAACAGTGATTCTCAACCACTGTTCCGCGGCACTCTTGTGTGCCGCGAAATTTCAAAAGTGTGCCGGCAAATTTTGCCAATATATAATGATGTTAACATTGTTAAATTTTTTTTTTTATTATTACTTGTAATTAATCCCTTAATAAACGTTTAAACATTATTAAAGCATATATTAGTTTATTTCGTATATTAAAAAGTTTTTTATAAATGTTTTATGCAGTATTTATCGGTGGATGTAATGAAAAAAAAAAACAGGTTTTTAATTACAGTCAAAGAAAAGATAAAATTATAAATAATTGCAATAAATGTGGTTTTTGACATAAATTCATGTCCAGCATATAAGAAACAATGCGATAAATGTAGCCGATTTGGACATTTTAAGAAGATGTGTCAAACAAGATCAAGTTCTAAAATCAAGTATGACATCTTGTATATATTATTACATTCTTTATTGTTTTTATATATATTTTTTTTTATTTGTTATAATATATTAACGCTATTAATGTATTTATCCTTCTCAATATTGCACCCACTCCCCACAGTAGGTATCTATATTTGTTATCTAGTTTCACCATAGGTTGCCTGGAAGAAATTGCTGTTAAGCAATAAGGCCGCCATTTGTTTACTCAATGTTTTTTTTAAATAATAAGCTCCTGTAAACATTGGATCATATTGAGTGCAATAAAGTATATTATTATTATTATGATGAAATATTAAATGAAAATAGTTCTGAGGAATTTGTACCAAATATGTCTAAAATTACTGCTCCATTAAGATATTTTACTTGTAAAAATGTAACTTGGATGTGGTCTAAAGTACACAATAATGCTTTTATACATTTAAAAAGAATAATCACAAAGGCGCCCATTTATCAATATTTTAATATCAATAAAGAAATTGTTAGATTGCTAGCAGGGATGGATTGGGTGCCTGTTTGTTACAAAATAATCATCCTATAAGGTTTGTATCACGAAGTCTAAATAAATCTGAACAAATGTATTCTCAAATAGAAAAAGAGCTATTGGCAATTGCATTTGCTATGGAAAAACTTCACTACTTTATTTATGGCAGGAAAATAATAGTACAAAGTGCCTATGATCACTTTGTACTATTATTTTCCTGCCATAAATAAAGTAGTGAAGTTTTTCCACAGCAAATGCAATTGCCATTGGAATCAATTTTTCGGAAAAGTTTATGTGATGTGTCCATTAGATTGCAAAGATTATTATTAAAAATACTAGGCTATGATTTACATGTAAGTTATGTTCCAGGTAGTAAATTATATATTGCAGACTTTTTTGTCACGTGCCTTTTTGAATAATTGTGACTTTGCAGCAGGAAACACCAATGTGAAAATTATACATAATTTGAAGGAAAAAGTTTTGATTAGTAAAAAAGAAGAATTAGGGAAAGCAATTGAAAAGGACAAAATATTATCAAAGGTAAAAAAATTGGTTGAAAATCATTGGTCAGAACACAAGCTAACAGGTGAAATGAAACATTTTTATAAATTAAAAGATGAAATTAGTGTAGATTCAGGATTACTATTATTTAAGAAAAAAAATATTGTGCCTTTATCTTTAAAACAAGGTATGTTAGATATAATCCATGAAAGTCATTTAGGCATAAATAAGTGTAAGCGTAGAGCAAGAGAATGTTTGTATTGGAAAGGCATGTCAAAAGACATTGAACAACATATAAAAAAGTGTTACACTTGTGTTAAATTTTGCAATGTTAACAGTAAAGAACCATTGTTGCAACATGCCATCTCTCAACGAGCTTGGGAAAGAGTAGCTTGTGATATTTTTACATATAATAATAAGGATTATTTGGCATTAATTGATTCATATAATAATTGGATAGAGTTAGCATCATTACATAGTAAAAAAGCAGCAACAGTTATTAGTGTATTAAAATCAATATTTGGTAGGTTTGGAATTCCAGAAAAGTTGCAAGCTGATAATATAATAAGCCTTTTAATAGTAAATTGTTTTTAAAATTTGCTAATGGTTGGGGGTTTAAATGTGTATTTTCAATCCCGAGATATGCACAATCAAATGGTCTAGCAGAAAAGGGAGTAGCAATTTGTAAGAATATGTTAAAAAAATGTTCAGAAAATCAAATTGATATAAGTTTAGCATTAATGAATTACAGAAACACAGTTTTACATAACATGAAATACTTTCCTGCCAATTGGTATTAAACAAAAGCATCAAAACAAGGATTCCTTGCACCAAGGATCAATTAAAACCTAAATTAAATAAAAATGTTGTTAATAATCAATTGCACAGAAAGATTATTCAAAAGAATTATTATGATAAAGATGCAAAACCTTTATTAAAAGTAGATGATAAGATTATGTTATATGATTATGAGAAAAAAGTATGGAAGCCAGGACAAATTGTAAAACTAATGAAAGTAGTTATTTATTTACTACTATGTGTAATTGTAAAGTTAATTGTAAGCAAGTGTTAAATAATTATAATAATTCTGTAAACACATCTAAACAAGTTATTAATGTAAATGATCAGAATACTAATAACAATGTTACAGATGATAGTACATTGATCGAGCAACATTTAAATTCTTGTAATGCATCATCAAACTCTTATGATCAAGAAAGTGATTCAATGATTTGTAATAGTAATAATGATCAACATAGATTAAGGGATCATTCTAAAATTAAAATACCAAAAAGGTTTCAAAATTAAATTTATTGTAAGAACTTATGATCTGTTCATCTTCCTCTGAGACAAAATGTAAACAAACTGGAAAAAAGTTCTTTAATATATCAAAATATAAATGCATTCAGAATTAATGAAAAAAGAAAGTAAAAACACCTAAACTTGAAGCTGTTCCCAAACATTGGACGTATTATAATACTACCTAATTGAGGAGTAGTAATAAGGTTATACCGGTCATTTTTACTCTCGATCAACTTGTTGATTCTTGCAAAATGCTTTCGTTAAATTCTTGTTATGTGTTTATTCCAGTTGTTGTTTGTTGTTTTCTGTTATTGTTAAGTTTTTTTGTTGTTATATTGACATTTTCGTCTGAAATTATGAGAGTGAACCTGGACCAAGCACAAGCAAAGCTTGCACTTTTTCTTCACCAAAGAAAAGGCGTTCCAAGAACACCCCCTTGCGTTCAACCGAGAAATTGGCTGTTATCAATATGTTTAAACAGTTGTGGAGACATGGCCCAAGGATTCGTATCTTTACAAGTGATATCGTCAACAAAACGGCAGAAATAATGGGAATATCACGCGCAACTGTGTACAGGATTATTAAAGAATCACAGTGGTAAGACTTTCACCTTACCACTGTGAATTAAATCCTATTGAACTGATATGGGCCCAAGTCAAAGGATATGTCGCAAAAAATAATAAAACTTATAAGTTAAATGAAATAAAATATTTATTAACCGATGCTCTAAAAAGGGTAACAGTAGGAGATTGGCTAAATTGTATTGACCATGTCATAAAAGAAGAACAAAGCAATTTTAAAAATTGATGGTGTCATAGATGATTTGGTTGACCGTTTTGTGATAGAAGTTGGTGCGACTAGTTCCTCAGAGGAAGATAAAAAGAAATAGACTTATTGTATTGCATACCTACCATACAATAATTTGTCCCATTAACAAATTTTACTTACAAACCAATATCAATAAAAAAGTTTGAGAAAAATTGGTTTGTTTGTTTACATTTTGTCTCAGAGGAAGTTGAATAGACTATAAGAGGGAAGATGTAGGGTGATAGTCTGTGTTGACATAGAGGACGAGACCACTATGGTCTGAGTATATGCATAAAAATGGAGGATAGTTTGGATACTTATAACTGATTATGGAAAAACTCAATCAAAGACATATAATTAACAGTTAACCAGTTTTATTTTATAAAGGCACTTTACAAAAACAGTAAAGTAGGTTAGGTATAAGAATAAAAGCTTTCACTTTTTGAGATTAATATTTGCAAATACGATGAAATTCATTGTTCAGGGTTAATGAAGAAAGCAAATCTCCAAAACGTCAAATGTTACCCATTGTTCCTTTTACATATACTTTAATAATAACAGACAGACTTCTTTGTTTACAATATCGATGTACCATACAATATGGATTTCAATCATATTTTTATTTTTACTTATTAAATTCAAAGATGCATATGAAATATTTCATTTTTTTAGAATAATAACTAGAAGAACAAAAACCAACCTATTGGGTGGGCGTGGGGATAAATTCTTAATCCAGCGCTGTAGATTGGGAGTAATAGGCTGAATTTATATTATAGAAAAGTACTTACTTTGGGATCTCAACAATGTATTGATGTTGTATATTATTATAATTTGGGCTTCAAAACAGTGACACATACCATCATCTCCATAGTCCATGCTAAGTTCACCGTCGTCCAACGCTTCACCCTCGACGCTCACTTCAAACTTCACCTCTTCAGACTTTACATTGGTGTTCACATCGCTATCTGCCAACAATATTTTTCAAGATACCAAAATATTACACTTAACACATCAGCCTTGTTACGTCCCCACTGTAGGGGCTCATGCCTTCCTTATGAAACAGAAGATGGGCCATAACCCTCTATGCTGGTTCAATGCAGATTAGACAGTATTAATTAACAACTGCAAGTGCAACCAGGACCTATGCCTTAACGTACATAATTAACTACTTACTAAAAAGAAATAAAATAAAAACAAGTGTAAGCCTATTATTATTATTGTAACATTTTTATTAATTTATTAACAACGAAATACTCATAAAATGATGATGTCTACTTAATTAATAAGTGCTGTATTGACCGAATGTGTAATGGTACAAAAATGTTAGGTACTTCTTTTAAAACACAATTTCTATTAAACCATATCTCCATGGCTCAGTATTTCTAAACAATAACTCTTAAAATGATCTAAACATATTGTTATTATTTTTGTACCTTATCAATGTCTTTTGTAAAAAAAGACCACTGATGATTACGATTGCGTAATTATTTAACACAATAATTGACATAAGTACGTAACAATACAAAAAGGGCACTCTATATAAAAAGTAGTTTCTACTCTTGTTAAATTCAAGCAACCCTACTCCTAAACGGAATTTATGAATATACAATTTATTATTATATACATTTACAAATTTAAGTATAAAAACTCTAAATTGGAATATTATGTTGAGAACAATATCCTGCAAATAGCTATTGCGCTACTTTTTTTATTATAGGTTGGTAGCACAGAGTAGTAATAGACAGTAAGGTTGGCATTAAAAAAAGAATTATTATTGTAATGGACGATAAATTTGTGAATACATTCGAAGGAAATGAAATAAGTTTATGAGTATCGTCTGTTTAATTTCAACAACGCCATCCCTTCTAAGGTTGTTCTACACAAGTGAATATTGAACTAAAAATAAAAGAAACAAGTTGTATCATGACTTGGCTAAACAAAACTCATTACATGTAGGGGTCGATCCTCTTAGATTAAAAATGTGTCACGGAACTGTTAAGCTCTTTTTCTGCAAAAACACCTATTACCATCTCCATGTAGCAGTATACGAGCCTGCAGCAGTTGTTCCTCGCAACGCAACACCTGCTCCCTGAATGTGGTAGCCTCTCGCAGTCGTGTAACACAAGTAGCACATATAAGTCGCTCTAGAGGTTCTCCATCTAAGTGTGACAACTGCAACAGGAGCATTAAAATATGCAATATTACTTTGGTAATAGAAAAAAAAAAATAGATATTTTACTTCACTCACTCATGCAATATTTTTTTTTAAATAACTATCAACCAGTTGCAGAAACGATCATTAAATCTCCTCATTAGTAAAAGAACCTTTAAATTCTTTGAAGCGTTAAATTAATGACGTTGCTCAAAGCATCTTTAGCGATCCATTAACTAATGGCGACTTTATATAATATTGCCAGAAAAAGGTCAAAAATATTTAATAAAATTAACGAATGGTAGACTTTAGTTCTTAACGTAGTCCATTGTTTTATAAACATCTTTGGTGTCAAATAACGTTTATTTGAAATGTCAACGTCAAATCTGAAGTTTTCATTTCGCGGTTTATCATGCTAAGTTTTAGTTTGGAATTGTTTGGAAGAAACTATGTCTCAACAAAAATCAAAACGTGACCGTGTAGCTAATTATACAGCCGAAGAAAAATCGTTTCTAGCTGATCTCGTGTTTCAGTAAGTGAAATTACGACAATCAAACCAAATTGTTATTATATTTCAGTAATCAATTCGAAATTCTTATTTTGTTTTTCAGATATAAGCATATTATTGAAAACAAAACTACCGGAGGAGCATTTATTACGAAAAAAAAGAGACATGGAAAACTATTACAACAAAATATTATAGTAGTTGCACTACTGGCTCTATGGAGACGGAACAGTTAAACGCTCTTTATAACATGAAGCAGAAATCTCGCAAGAAAGTTGGGGAACATAACACAAATATCTGTTTCATATTAATCTAGAAAATACTCGCTCTTTATTCTGGAGACATGGAGTTTATTTCAATAAACTAACATACTGATTTTTCTTTTCAGAAACTAGAATATATACAAAGCATCTCATGCAATGATAAAATTCCTTAGAAGTTTTCATTAGAAGTTCAACTAGTTTAATTAATATTTTTTTCAGAACACAAATAAAACTATGGATCGGAGTGTGTAACGGAATGTGCTCTCAAAAAAGCTTTACAAAATGTGAAGGAGGACCAGGTTAATTAAAAGTACTTTGTACTAATATATTAATATTGACAAGTTCTCTAAAATAATATTGCAAATGTTATTGTTTTAGGTGCAAATGAATAAAACTGGAGGTGGTGTTTGGAAACATCAAGTGACAGATCCAGATGCTAGAGTTTTATCAATAATACACAACCAGATAGAACCACTACAAAACCCTTATACCCAGCACATCCTTTTTTTTCAAAAGTACATGATTCAGATCTTATTCACCTTGACATTTACCAACATAATAACCAAAATATACCATAATCTTTATACTTTATTTTTATTCTTTAGATGGAGAGATTGGCAGAAATGAATGCTTGGAATCAGTGCCAATTGTGGAAGTGGATTTTCTGGATCCACCATATAATAATATATCAACAGACAGAACTGTACCAAAGAAATAACTACTGTAATGGGTAAGCTGTTTTATAAAAAATATATAATAGTGTATTATGCTTTTGAAATTTCTATTGATTGTATCATTCCCAATTATCTCCAAAGCTAATGATCTCAACATTAAAAAAAAAAATAATAAAAAATAGTTATATAGTAATATAGAAGTAATGAGCATGAAACAAGTAGTGTTATATCTTTCAAGATCACATCTCTTATGTATATCTTTATTTCAGATCTTAATCAAAACGAAACCATAACTCCACCCTCCACAGAAAGGAAAATCAACAAAGGTATTGACAATATACTTGAATGCTCTGATTTCTTACATCAGATTATAATAATTTCAAAATAATTTCAATTTAAATTATACTATCATTATACTATTATTGGTACTAATCATTACTTTAATTCTTTCAGGGCACACTCAACAAAAAGTAAAAAGAAACATTTCACCTAAAGCACTGAAAAGCAATTACTTTAAAAGAAAGTGTTAAAATGCAGCATTGGAAAAAAAATAAATAATCTGGAAATATCAGAAATAAAAAAAGAACACCAATCAAAAATGAATATTCTGAAAAAAAAAAACTTGAAATCTGTTAACCAAAGTAATAACAAAATACAGTAATGGTAATAATAATTTAATTAATATGTATTAAACTAAAAAGTAAATAGTTTAAAAGTAAACATTATAATAATTAATAATAAGTTTATAAGTAAATAAACATTGATACTTCATTTTTAAGTACTTATATTGTTTTATTTTTATTCATCATTAGCCATAAGACTCCTACTACTGAGCATAAGCCTCCTCCAAAGGTTTGACCTCTAGCAGAATGGTTTGTACGCCGGTTTCAAAGTGTCTCTATCTCTGAGGTCCCGGGTTCTATTCCTGGTTGGGTCAAGGTAGAAAATAGATGTAATGTTGTCTAATAATAAAAAAGAACTAAAAATACACAAAAACTTTATTTACCATTGAAACATGGCCAAAATTAAACAAAAGAAAATACAGAATTTATAAGTACAGATTTGGTATTTGTTTCCTGAGAATTTATATTCATAGGAATATCATAGCTTGAATCATTGCTATCATTCACATCACTTGGTGGTGCAACTTCATTTAACTCGATGCAGATATTATGCAACACTGCACATGCCACAATCACTTGTAAAACAGTTGATGTTTTATTTAATGTTATACCATTTTCCAAGCACAGGAATCGTCGCTTCCATACTCCAAAGCATCTTTCTACAGTATTCCGAGTTGCAATATGATATTTATTATAAGCTTCTTCTGCATTTGTTTGTGGGTGTAATAAAGGTGTCATTAAATAGTTCTTATTAAAATATCCACTGTCTCTCAGTAGGAGGTAATGGCCATATTTACCTCTCAAAATCAGCACATAAGTGGGAATTATTAAATATGGTAGCGTCGTGAACTGAGCCTGGCCAGTGAGCGATGATGTCTCTTATTTTTAATGATGCATCACATACTACCTGAACATTTAAAGAGAAATATGCTTTTCTGCAGCGATATAGTTCAGACAATGAACCTCCTCTATTTATTTATGACATGTGTGCAATCCAAAGCTCCTGCCATACATGGCAACCCATCAATTGCATAAAAGCCTTCAGTAACTTCACGTAATTCTTGTTCGCTGGGCAAATTTATATAAGTCGAGTGTAATTTTGCTAACTCTCTGGATACTCTTAGTACGATCCGGCATGTTGATTTATGTACCTATATTCAAAATATCACCTAGCACTTGTTGGAAAGTCCTGGTCACAAAAAAACCTTAAACAGATTAACAGTTGCGTCAACCCATCAATAGACTTATTTCTTTGGGTTATGGGTTTCAGATTAAGCATATTGCTAATTTGCACAGCTGTTACTTAAGAAACTCTCACGGAAATCTTCACCATGATGTTTTTATACTAAATTAATTCTTTCGGGGATATGCCGACGTTGTATATCTTCGGGATCTGATGACGATGATGAACTCGTTACAGACATGTTGATTATAATGTAAAAATTACTTAAATGCACTAAAATTTGGTTAAAATATAAACTTAGGAATTATAATGAGCAGTTTAATGGATGCTAAAGGACCTGTTAAAAATATAACCTCAAAACTATCAAATTAATGAGTCATTAGGGCCTAATGTAGTTATGTGCAACGTAAAACGTCTTCCATTAGCAGTTTGACATTTCATTTCATTTTAAATTTAATGAAGTTTTAAAATTTGATCTAAATGTGTTTTGTGCAACAAGATAAGGACTCATTAGTGTTTATTGATATCTTTAAAATTTAATGATCATTTCTGCAACTGGCCGTATATTCGATGAATAAATCTGTTGCTATTAGTATCCAAGCAGAATTTCACCCAAGCTTATTATTTAATAGTTATTACAAAAATGATAATAGAACATCTTTATCTGTTTAGTTATTTATAATTTGCAAAGGAAATTTATGTCCTCTGTGGTGTCTATTAAATTATAGAAAGTTAATACTTTTCTACGAAACCATTAAAGTTGCAATCACTTTCTGAACAAATCACGATTTGAATGAGCGAGAAACATAATAAAAACTTCATTACTTAAATTTAAAGTAATATTTCTGACTAACTCTTGCCTTCGACAATTCCATTTAACGTCAAATGAACAATATTGTTAATTCAAATCTTCATAAAACAATTGCAATTGCAATCAGTATCACATGCCAATAGTTTGAATAGATTTTAGAATTACAATAATTGAGGCCTTTGGTTATGTGAATACGAAAAATATTAATAGTTGAAAGGTAAAGTGTAAGCAACACTAGAACTGCATGGTATGAATCTACCTATTTGATAAAATTTCACCCATAGGAAAGACCTGCATCCCAGCACAACAGGTAAATTAGGATATTAATAGGCTGATTATGATGCTATATATGTATTACAAATTTACACCCCTTATGGGTTGTATCAACCAATGAATTTGATCTAATTGTAAACATGATAAAGCTTTTCCCAAAAGTCAAGAATTATTTATAAAGATTTTGTATAGATATGATGAGTGTTGTTAAAGAAATCTAAAAAGTTCTGCTTACTGAAAGGAAAACATATCCAATCACTTTGAAGCTTCATTCTATTGTTTTAGTTTTAATTTGACTGCAAAAAGGTCTTTTTTAATCTGTATGAGTTGATGAGTATTGAAATGATATTACAAATAAGCACATCTTGCACACGTAAATGCGGATTTGTATTTTGTATTATTAAGAATTTAGGTATGTGTATGAGAATAATTGAATTATATATTTATCTATAAGCTTATATCAGTTGTATATTATTTATCAATATTTACCAGTAATCCAAAACAATCCATAAACATGTCAGAGTATACTTCTTTCTTGCCCATCCAATCGTATTCGTAGTTTAACAAACGGCATTTCTTTGACGCGCCGCAACATCGACATAAGCCGGGGTCGTATAGAGGTCCCTTTTTAGTATTTACACTCATATTAATTAGGCATTAGATTTTAACAGAAATTGAAACAAACCTAACAGAATGTCAATCGGATATAAAAGCAATGATGAGTTAGAGTTGTTAAAATTAAATCGACTTTGAAAAAATCGATATCCATATGCGAGCTAAAATGTATAACATTATATCGGTTTAAGGAAAAATATAATCGAATCGGTATTTCAAAAAGATATATCGGTCTACGATTTTAGTGTGTGCACAAACGTCCATTAATATTTAAAATTATCATAATTATAGTGATGTTTGCTTTTGTGTTGTCCTTTTTTTTAGTAAGGAAAGACATTATCAAGAAAGAACTGGTTAAAGCGCTGAATTCAGCTTGTTTTTTTTATGTGCCATATTTCCATGTGTGCCATTATGCATCCACACATCGAATTATATTAATATAAATATCAATTCAGTCTAGGCTGTTACATAGCACTTGTGAAAGTCGAAAACTTTGCCAACGGTTCGCAAAACTAAGGCGAGAGACCTTGTACTGAGAAGAACCGGCAAGAAACTCAGCAAGGGCTGCTTTTTTCTTTCTGTTTCACTTCAAACAATAGAGTCTTATTGGAATGTGTTTCCATTATAACATCAGAAATCCTACATACTTACTGACAAATCAATATACAACATTCATAATAAAGTATAAATCTATATTTGAGGGAACGTAACGACCCGACGCACACGACACGACTACTCTAGGTACTTAATAAGTAATATATTTCAATAAAACTGATTTCTAGAGTAGGTTGAGTAGGAAGTCAATTGACAATATTATTGTAAGAACCAAAAAAGCACATACCCATTGTAGGCGACTGGCTGGAAAGCGCCACCGTTTTATATTATTTTGTGATATTTTTATATTGTTCCTTTACTACTACTCATTTCGTTGCTTACTGTAATTTGTGATTTATTATTATCATTATTATATTTTACCATATATCCATTAGTTCTTATTTACAGTCCTCATCCCCACTAGCTATCACCCATCGTAGGAATTAACATAACACCTGGCTCGACGTCAAGACATGCAAGTTCAGTAGCGATAGTACAAAAACTGTACATGTTTTTGTGATTTTGAAATTTAAAGTTCAAACCTTGTCGTTCGTGTCGAACGGACGTTTCGTGTTGATTGCAAAATTTTTATTAAGATGATTTAATTATGAATATAAGATTTAATAACTGATCACAGTTTTTTTTTTATTTTTAATTTCGAAAGGCAAACTTATTTGCACGTAATACTTTGCACAAACATCATTATAGCCAGAAGTCAGGTTAGTTTGTACGAATACTTAGTATATTTGATACATATTGGGTAAGTATATAGATATTAAACGGATTTTTTATTATAATTATCGTTTTTATGAGGTTTGTTGCTGATTAATAAACCCAATTCTTTCATTCACCATACATAATATAAAAATCTGAATGAGACTTGATGTATTTTTGTTGTTATAAGTTCAACAAACAACTAATAGCAATAAAACTAACTTTCCTAATTGTTATTGTTTTCAGAACTTTTGTTAAATATTATAACCAAAAATTCCTACACCTGCTATGGCATAAGTATTTATTTATAATCACGGTAATATTATTGTATACCGTAGCTAAATGCCACTTTAAATTATATCACAGCATTAATTCCATTGATTTCCATAACTTAAAAAAAATCCCTTCTCTATGCTCACTTCCATTATATTAGTTTCCATTTGCTTATATACAAATAAAAAGAAATTTATTCAAGGATTAATTCGTATTAATCGAGTTGCGTTTGCGTACCTCGAACTAATAGAATTGCAACTGGATATAAATCCGAGTTATCAGATTCATAACAACGCTGACAATTCTATTCTCTTTGGTTTAACGTCATGAATTGACATTGAGATCGTACAATTTGTGCTGCCATCTACTGAAATATTTTTTTGTAGTTTATTTTTTTTAATACTTCCTCATTGATTTATATATATTTTTTATATAATAAATATAATCAGCGTCACTCCGGAAATGAACCACATACATTGAAGTTCCCGATTTTTTATAAAACTCGACAAATAATATTAATTTAAAATATTATTTGAAAATAGTTTGGTTTAACGTCATGAATTGACGTATTGATCCTACTATTTGTGCTGCCATTTAGTGACATAATTTTTGTAGCTTCTTTATTTTTTAAAACTTCCTCATTAAATAAAAAATACAAAAAGGTATTTTTTTATTTTTCCTGCTGGCTTTTGATGATAATAAGAATCAATAATTATGATATAATCGTACTTTCAGAAACATGGTTATATGAACATATAATTGATAATCATTTTATCGATGATAGATATAGGGTCTTTAGATGTGACAGAGACCGTTTGAAAAGTGGACGTAGCGACGGTGGCGGTGTTTTAATCGCGGTTTTGCGTGAACTAGGAGCTACTTTGAGAAATGTATCTATTCATATGCCTGTGCTATCGACATCAGCGCTCATAGATCATGTACTTATAGAAATACGTCAAAGAAACACCTGTTGCGTTATAAGTGCCTCATATATCCCACCTAACCTTAACCATCAAATCTACTCGACACACTTTGACTACTTGAGCCATGTATTAGAAATGCCTGACATTAGCAGCTTTATTATTATGGGTGATTATAATTTACCCACAATGGAGTGGCATGATCATGAGTCATACGTAAAACCTATTATAAATCAAAAATATTGCTTGGAAAATAAGTATTTAATAAATTTTATCAGTCGTTTTAATTGTTTTCAATACAATAAATTAAGAAATTGTAATAATCGCATACTTGATTTTTTTATAACAAATATAGAAGAGACTGTGGTATCTGGAGCGCCGGTTCCTATGGTAAATCCGGATGCAAATCATCCCCCATTTTTCGCGTTATTATCTATTGGAACTCTTCCTCAAATTTTTATTAATACTCAGAAATATTTCAACTTCAATAAAGCTAATTACTCATTATTAAATCAAGAGATTAGTAAAATTAAATGGAGCGAAATCCTATATAACTTAAGTGCAGAGAATGCAGTTATGATATTCTACGAGGAAATATACAATTTAGTGAAAAAAGTCATACCTATGTCTACAAAAAAAATTAAATCATCCAAGTTTCCAGTATGGTTCACCAAAGCTTTAATTCACATATTTAATAATAAAAATAAATCATGGATAAAATGTAAAACATATAAAAATATTGCTGATTATGAAACATTTAGTATTTTAAGGGATCGTTTTAAAGTCGAGTCAAAAAAATGTTATAAAAGTTACTTGGGTATGGTGGAGGACAATATTCATTGCAACATTAAATATTTTTGGACTTACATTAATAATATGAATAAAAAAGCTTACTTGCCTAATAAAATGACCTATAAAGATAACACTGCTGATAATCCAGGTGACATATGTCATTTATTTTCATTATTTTTTAAATCTAGTTTCCAACCATCATGTATCAATGATGATTATCACATCTCCGACATATTCGATTCGAATCAATGTTCTGATCTTGTAATTAATGATATACAATTATGTAAAGACTCTATATTTAAAGAATTACGTAAACTTGATAAATCAAAGGGGCCGGGTTTAGATAATTTGCCACCAATTTTCTTCATATCGACAGCTAAAACTATATGTGAGCCTCTGTGCTACCTGTATAATTTATGTTTAAAAGAAGGATCATTTCCAGCGATTTGGAAAGCAGCCCGTGTTGTTCCTGTGTTTAAAAGCGGTGATAAAACTAATGTAGAGAACTACCGTCCCATATCTATCCTACCCACTTTGTCGAAGCTTTTCGAGAGGTTAGTCCATAACATCATATATCCCTCTCTTCACAATATTATAATACCTGAACAACATGGTTTTGTATAAAAAAGGTCTACAATCACAAATCTTTTATTATATACAACTTATCTTTTTGAAAGTATAGATAGTAATATACAGGTAGACAGCATATATACGGACTTTCGAAAGGCCTTCGATCGAGTCGATCACAAGATACTATTAGATAAATTAGCGTATAATGGAATACGCGGAAATTTATGGCGATGGTTCAAATCATATGTAACAAATAGAACACAAAAGATCGTAATTAAAGGTTTTGAATCTGAATTCGTTCCACTTGAATCTGGCGTTCCACAGGGTTCGATCCTGGGTCCATTATTATTTGTCTTATTTATTAATGACATTCATAAGTGCTTTACGCATAGTAATTTTCTTCTATATGCAGATGACCTAAAAATTTTCCGTAAAATCGAAGACGGTAATGATCACTACATGTTACAGCAGGATCTTGACCGTTTTTCAACTTATTGTGAAGATAATAAGTTATCCCTTAGTATTGATAAATGTAAAATTATTAATTTTACTAGAAAAAGGAACATTAGAAAATTTGATTACAGACTATGCAATAACAAACTTGTATTTACGGCATCAATACGAGACCTGGGAATCATTCTAGACTCCAAACTACACCTAGACTTGCATATTGACCACTTAGTTAGCAGAGCTTTAAAAATGTATGGATGTGTTATGCGCTCAAGTACAAAATTTACGCGACCGTCCACATATATATATCTTTATAAATCCCTGATTCGTTCCCAATTAGATTACGCTGTGGCAGTCTGGAATCCATTTTATAATAAATACAATGATGCCTTGGAAAAAATTCAAAGTAAATTTTTGCGATGTGTCCAGTTCAAATGTTATCACAGTTATTTACCTTATTGTAAACTTCTAGATAAATATAATATTGATAAGCTTTCTAATAGGCGAATGCAACTAGGAGCAATATTGCTTTATGATATATGTCACAACAAATATGATTGTATCTCAATAGTTAACAAAATATATTATAAAATACCCACTAGAACACATAGCCGAAATACTCATAATTTGTTTCTGACATCACGATGTAGAACAAATGCTGGTAAGAGATCTCCACTATATCAATTAGTTAACAACTTTAATTCATATTTCAATAGTATTGACATACTAGTAAGTAACCCTAGTGATTTCAAAAGACAAGTACTGGATACCTTGCCCAAATGATTTTTTTTTTTTTTTTGTTTTGTGCCTTTATAAGCTCTTATCAATTGTACTGTTAAATTATAAGATTTTTTAATTATACTGTGCTATGGATTTGAGAAAGCTTTGTTATGCGGCCGCTTTTAGGCTAGTTATATTTCGATTATGATGTGGTGAACGGTGTTGGTGTGCAATTATATCTCATCTGTTTGACTTTGTTAGTTTAATGTAAATTGTATCACTGTTTGTTTGCGAAAATAAATAAAAAAAAAAAAAAAAAAAAAAAAATATGGGACTGAAGTTCGATTACTTCAGACGACCGTCAAAATAAAGGTTCACAATGGTTTAAAGAACTCACATACATCACATTTGATATCATAATTAAATAACAACTAAATAATACAAACATGTATTTATTTATTAATAATAAGAATCAATATGGGACTAAAGTCAGATTACTTCTGGTGACCAGAATGTCCCGAATTTCGTTTACAAAAAGGTCCCAGCCCTGGGTGGAATCTTATTGGAGTAAATAAACTCACATACATACATCACACCCTTTTTTGGATAGTCGTGGAAAACCAGGCATAAAATAAAAAAAATGTCTTTGTTCACAGTTTAATCGAAAACAAGAATACATTCAGACAATTTATGAATGACATAATATTTCATTTAGATACATGAGCTTAACCGCACTAACGTTAAATCACGCTTACGAAGTTTCATCGACAACGTTGTATAAATGCAAGTTCTGAATTTTCAAGCTAACCTACATTGGTAGGACCCCTATCCGCGGGCTATTGACATCTTCTTAATAACCCTTACTGTTACTACCTTCACCAGAAAGACTACAACATTTACTATCGAACCCTTCCAAACCTACCGAAAATCTTGCCTTGTCATTCATTACACAAAGCCGCGAGGGTTTATACGCGGATATATGCTTGAATGTTGTTTTTTTTTAGGTCATACAAATTTTCTTTGACTTTATTCCTTCAACAGTGAGGTCAAACATACTTTTTTAAATGATAAAGCCTTTTATTTTCAAACTATTACAATTTTTGCTTATTATATAATATTGCAAAATAAATATTTTAGATCTGTATAATATCTCCTTGCTCGGAGTTTCTTATGGCAAAAGCCTCAACCAACCAACGTCTTTTGTTGCATTCGATCTGCAGCTATTTTAATAAATGAGGACTTAAGATCGGTCTTAAGTCCGTCTCAAATTCTAGATTGGCGACCTCGGAATCTTAAACCATCACTAGGATCACTGCAAATCGTCAAGATAATCGCTGCCCTGATGTTTTGTTTTCATGTGATTCTTAAGATTATTACTCTGTGTATACGATGCGGAACATAATGTACATTTATATCTCTTTTCAGTTTCGTGCGATTGCATATGCACTCTTAATGCTCTCAATCTAGGGTAACTTTTTCCACAATATTCACACCTAAAGTTTCTCTCGCCAGTATGCGACGCCATATGGTCCTTCAGAGCTGATGGCAGGTAGAATTTTCTCTCGCACACGTTACATTCATGTTTCAAAACTTTCAAATGATTCTTGCGATTGTGTTCCCTCAACGATTTCTTTGTGTCGTACACTTTATCGCAATTATCGCATGGGAATTTTCGGGCTAGCTCTCCGTGGACTTCTATCATGTGTCTATACCTTAAAGTCTGAGAAAATAATATTTCATCGCATTTGTAACAATGGAATGTGGGTTCAGCATTATGAGCTCTAGACACATGATAATACATGCCATGTTTGGATTTAAATAATTTCCCACATTCCTTACAAGGATATAGGATATTCGATTTGTCCTGATGACTCTTCTGGTGGACAATCAATTTGTGTTCTTCGAAGAAATGGCCACCACATATATCACAGATGCATGTCCCGAAATGTTCAGCCATGTGCCGTTTCAGCGCATGAAAGTTGGTGTATTTGCCTTCGCATTCCAAGCAAGAAAGGGGGCCTGAATTCAAGTGGAATTTTAAAAATTCATTTTTTATGTTCGGGTATAGTTTTTTATCGTGCGAGCTCACTACGTGTTTGTAGAATATGTCTAGATTGTCGATGGCTTCTGGACATAGACGACAATCTATTCGGGCTATATCGATTTGTAAATCTTTCTTGTAAGCCACTGTGTCTTGATATAATTTTGGATCGTGTGACAATGTGTGCTGTCTGAGTTTGTCTGGATCTGTGAACATTTCCTTGCAGTATATGCAGAAGAAATTGCTAAACGATGTCGCGAACGGACAAACGTACGAATTCTCCACTAGGGTTATAATGTTGTGGAATGCCTTCATTTTAGCTGACATCCATTTGGTGGACGTAGCGAGGGAAGTTGCGGTTGGAGCTGAAACAAGAATTGCATATCACAAGATGGTAATGAACTTGATGAATAAATGATAACAGATTCTTTTGTTGGGAAGTGAAAAACCTGCCATTGAAACGCTACAATTAAGTTAAAATTAGCGGAATTGAGTAATAATCGTTGATATAATATTCGATTTAAGGCTTATTTAGTGTATATTTACACTATGCGATATATAAGCTTATTCATTTAGCTTATTAGCCTAGGGTCAATGAGACTTGGTGCCCTAGGCTAAACACTGGATCCTGGCAAAAAATCATAATGAAATTAAAAACTAATGAAGGTACACTAATTTAAGAGTGTACTTTTGCTAATGACCAGAAACTCCTTAGGTGCTGCTGGTCAAAAATTTTTGTACTTTTGAATACCGCGGACATGGACTCACATTCAAAGTACAAAAAACATTTTTTTAAGGTTCAAATAATTAAAACAAATATAATCTGTTTGCCATGCCATGCCGGCCTCCCAATACATGCGCGATCGCACGGCGATCTTCTCTCTCTTTCTAACTGAGAGACGCCTAGAGCTCTGGTTTTCAATGCTCTATCTATATTGGGATAAGCTCAATGGCAACACCAAAGTTTCGTTTAATTTGTTTAATGAATGAAAAATTAAATAAATAAATGAGGTAATTTTCATTGATGAAAAATAAATTTGATTTCAGATGGAATTTAGAATAGTTGCGCCCATCTGTTCACATCATAAGCTACTCGTGGCTACCGACCACAGAACACAGAAAGACGTTAGAAGGGCCTTGTGGGCGTGGCAGTAGAGCCACGAGCCTAGACAAATGTACAGGATCATGACTTCACCACACGATCGCGATATTTAGTCATTCACGAACGCGCGCGCTGTAAGTACTGTGAAACACGCCACTAAAAGTGTTAAAAATGCCGACTTTCGCAGTTATTAATTGCAAAACAAGAAGCCCATCCTCAAGTAGGTCCAAAGGAAGGATTTCTTTCCATTATTAAGTAGAACACTTCTCAAATTTAGTATTTTTAGTCGAAAATCGTGAAATGTTATCAAAAGTGTGAATCACAAAAAATATTTCCAAGAAAATATACATTGCTGGAGAAGTGCGCATATTTATTACATTGCGTCGTACTAAGCACGTAATGTAATGAATATCGCGAAATTACCGTTTTAAATAGCAACATAATAGATTACGGTAGATGGGTAGTGAAGTGCCTGGAAACATTTAATCGATTCTTGGTATGTTAGGTAGTAAAAACTAAATAAAAGTATGGACAATAAAAATAGTGGTAATAAAAAATAAAATTAATCAGTGATTAACCATATTGACTTCGTTTGGAATGCGTTTGTATATTAATTTAATAATGAGTGTGGTAATAAGTCTGTTTTTATATTCTTAATATTGTAACAGAAAACTAGTTTTTTTTTTATTATTTTGAACCATTAACAACAATACTTTTTAAATCATCGGAGTCTGTTCAGGATAAGTTCCAATAGCATTTATTGTACTTATAGTATTTTTTTTATTTTATATATATTTATTTACATTATATTGTTTGTCAATATTACTAGTTTCATTTAAGCGATGTTGCCGATCTTATCTGTTTACTTGATACGAAATCGAGTAACGTAACGTAAAAAAAACCTACTATTATTATTAATAAACAAACATATTTATATGCAAATATTTGCTCGACTAGTACCGATTCAATGTAAGTTCATTAGTAATTTAAATATTTCTTATTGAATCAACCAAATAATTAAGAATTTATATCTAAAGAAAAAAGATAATGTCTCATATAATCAATACAATTCAATGTATATCCAATATAATATAAAGAGATCATTAATCTAGTATCCTTTCAATTAATCGACTTGTTGTTTTTCAATATCGATAGTAAATAACGTTATGTCAATCACTAGTGTGATATGGCAAATTAAAATGGCTTTTACACGTTTATTGCGCACTATTGATGTCTGTTATGGTTGAGCGTGATTGGTTATAGTTATATTGGAGCGTTCTGATTGGCATGTTAAAAATACAAGTGTGTCTAAATCTTTTGTATAATTGGTCTGATTATTCGTCTGATGTACGGCGGACTAAAAGTGGGGCAAGACTGGCTACATCGGTTTTCGTACAAAGGATGCATGATCGCCTTTCTAACCTCTTTTCCGTGTTCTGTGCTACCGACCGAGCTAATATATAATTCAAATTCAAAAACCAACAATAATAATATTCATAACAAAACATTTCAGATGAACAGCTCAATATGCCCAAAGAGACAATGAAAGCGACAGCTCTGGTGGTGGAGTTTTTCGACGACCTATTTGATAGTGTAAATGGATCCCCCGGTGCATCAACGATGTGCGGTGAAGCCTAATTCACCTCACTTAAAATTTTGGAGACAATCATTAAAAACTTTAAAAAATATAAAGTACATTGATAACAGCAGCAAGTTTGCTAAAAATGCTTTAAAATCAAGACATGTGCGTGTTCCCTGCCCAGATGGATGGAATACTACTTTACAAGGTTTCCTGGGGTTAGCCAAATTATTATTTTCAGAATTCGGGGTAGAATATTTTTACCCTAGGTTTATAAATCAAGATCACCTTGAAAATTTTTTTGGACGTATCAGAGCAGTTAATTATAGAAACGTAAATCCCGACGTTACAACATTCATATACGCTTATAAGTCGTTAGTTTTGTCTAATATATTGAGCCCACATTCAAAATATTCCAATTGTGAAGAAGGTAACGGTGATACGTTGATTGATTCAAATTATTTATTTATATAAAATGAAAGTGATAGGGAAAATTTTCCTATAAATACATATTCTCATGTAATGCCGTCAACTTCGCATATTCCGCAAGGCGTAGAAAGTGATCTAAAGCAACATGTAATAGTGTCATGTGGGTCAAGTATGCGCAGCGGGTAAGTGTGCGCATTCTAAATATCTCCGAAATGGTTTATAACTGATGAACGGCGTCCCCCCTCTCCAGTAGTCCCCGTGACGTCCCGCGAAACGCACGAGTGTCAGCGGCCGGCCGCGCGCCATTTTGTTTCTACGGGTGAGTGAATATTTTTACCTTATATATTACGATTTTTTGTTATTTTCAACGCGTAATCTTTTGTGGTTGTACTACCTTTTGAATAAATTGATATTTATTATTGGAAGGCTTTTTCTATCTCATTTGACAAGGGATAAATGTAATTTCGTTGAGATGATGCAATCGTGAATGATTTTTGAATAATCCTGTGTTGATAGGTTGGGTCAAGTGTGCGCACAAGCTTGTCGAGTAAGTGTGCGCGTGCGCACACTTACCCCTAATGCACAGTTATTAGTGTGAATGTTGAAATGTTGGGTTATTAGTCGTTTTGGCCCGGCCTTATCGTGGCCCGCGGGCCAGAACGGCTAATTCAATAATATATTAATATTTCTTTGGGTTATAAGACCCGTTACACAAATATTGTTCAGAATGTTTTGTTCCAAAGCCTCAATACAGTCGGAGAGGTAAATGTCAAGATAAAATAAAAAAAATAACCTGGAAAATGTAGGTATATTCGTATATTCTTGAGATAATTTTGCATCTGATCGTACCTTTTTACAAGAAAAAACGAGACGAGCCCCAACGACACCTTTTACTGATTTTGTCATTTTGTCCCGCGGGCTATGACAATGCCGGACCATAATGACTAAATACCCAAATGTTTGCTTGCAGGCTACAAGAAGACAACAACAATGCCCCGGAATTACTACAGAAAAGCTCCAGATAGACATGTCGTCACCGATGATCAGCTGGAAGCTGCAAAAATATTGATTTCAGAGGGTACTAGTAAACGGAAAGCTGCGTCACAAGTTGGATTAAAGGAAAGCACTTTAAGAAAGAGATTGAAGATAGGAAATACAGCGTGTAGTATGGGACGATTTTCTACAACATTCACAAAGGAACAAGAGGACGAAATATTCAGATATGTGAAAGAGAGTGACGCTTTATTTTATGGACTCACTATGCTCAACCTTCGCAAGTTGATTTACGAGTATGCAGAAACGAATAAAATTCAACATCGGTTTAACACTGCCTCTCAACTGGCTGGACGAGATTGGGTTTATGGGTTTCTAAGAAGACATCCTGAATTAAAGTTACGACAGCCAACCCCTACTAGCATAGCAAGAGCCATGGGATTTAATAAAACACAGGTTGAACTTTTCTTTAAAAACCTGCAATACCTTTACAATAAACACAATTTTGAACCCGGTCGAATATACAATTTGGATGAAAGTGGTGTTAATACAGTACCTAAAAAAATTCCAAGAGTAATATCTGTGAAAGGTAAAAAGCTGGTTGGCAAGATTGTTTCAGCTGAAAGAGGTCAAACCATCACACTAGTTTGCGCTATGAGTGCCACCGGAAATTTCGTCCCACCTGCTTTTATATTCCCACGGAAGAGGATGAAGCAACACTTACTTAATAATGCACCCGAAGGAAGTGTTGGAATGGTATCAGATTCCGGGTTTATAAATACTGACCTCTTTGTAGAATACCTACACCATTTCAAAGATAATGTGCAGCCAACAAAAGACAACCCTATCTTATTGGTTTTAGATAACCATACCACCCATATTTCTCTGGCCGCAGTAAATTACTGTCGTGATGTTGGCATCCACATGATTACCTTACCGCCACACAGTAGCCATAAGATGCAACCTTTAGATCGTGGTTTTTTTGGTCCGTTGAAAATCAAGTTCGCATATGAATGTGACAAATGGCTAAGTCACCACCCAGGTCGTGTGATTGGTCAGACAGAAATAGCACAGCTCGTAAATGAGGCCTTTAAAAAAGCAGCAACACTAAGCAATGCGGTTTCAGGGTTCAAAGTTTCTGGAATCTGGCCAATAGATACAGACATTTTCGCAGAAGAAGATTTTGCAGCAGCATCTGTTACCGATATGATTCCCGCTCCAAACCCTCAAATTGTAGAAGAACCTGCGGAAGTACCTCCAGT